CGGCGGTCGCCGCGCAGAGGGCCCGCATCGCGGCGAACCGCCCCTCCGGCCGCGCGTGGAGGAACACCGCGGGGGTGTGGACCCACGCGAGGCCGAAGGACCCCCGGCAGCAGGCCACCAACGCCGGATACAACACCGCCGCCGCGAGGTCCTCGATTTGGCGCCGCTCGAGCACCTCGTGGTGGTTTTCGATGAACAGCTGCGTCGCGTAGGCGTCGGCGAGGTCGTCGAAGACCGCGGCGCGGCCGCGGCGCTCCTCCGTCTCGAGGAGCCCGCGGCATTCGGCCTCGATCTCGTCCACGGTGAGCTCGCGATCCCGAATCGCGTGCCGCGAGGTCGCCCCATAGCGCTGCACGACGAGCTGGCGGAAAAAGTCCGGCGGCGCGGTGAGGAAAAACCGCTTGCGGAGGATCGTCTGCTCCTCCAACTCCTCCCGATGCAGACGGGCCCGCCCGCGGGTCTCCTTTTCATAGAGCTGATCAAAACACACCAAAAGGTAGAAAGACTCCGAGCAGGTCTTCGCGATTTGCTCGCGAAGTTTGGCCTCGATGCAGTGAAACCAAATCCGAATTTCCGTCTCCTCCTCGCACAGGCGGTGGAATTCGGCGTGTGGAAAGCCCTTGCGTTTGCCAGGCGCCACCGGGCGGGGTAAGGTCGCGGGAAACCAAATCTCGCGTTGTTTTTTGTACAACACCAGGGCATGACGGCTCATCCACGGTACATTTCCACTGTGGTAGTACTTCTTATCCCCAATCCACAACCCCGCGATGTGCAGCATGTCGGCAAATTCCGCCTCCGCGTCCTCCTGAATCCGCTCACGGGCAGCTGTTTCGTCGCGTTTGAGATCTAAAAGTGCATGTTCGATGGTATAGGGACGAGAGATCAGCTCATTATAGTAATCTCGGAATGGAAGAGCAATCAAAGACATTGAAACGATGGTGAACAATAAGTGAAAGCCTTAAGGGAACCCCTACAAAGGAAAACGACGTTTTCGATACAAACAGAACAAGGAAAATCCAAAAGAAATCAACCCTAAACTCGAATGTATACAACAGTGAACAAATAAAAAGGGGATAACCTTCTTTTATTTGCTTGGAAACTACTTGCTTAAATGGAAATATCTATAGGTATGGGTATAAGATCGTGACAGGTGAAAAAAAAGCTGAATTTTAGGATGAAATTAATTCAAGTTGAAATGGGGAATCCCGTAATTTTAACGCATACACGCATATTAATTCCATTTATCCGATTTTGATGACTTGATGCTTCAGCTGTTTTATCCTGCGTGATACTTCGAAGAGAGAATCCTAAGGTTAAGAACGTAGACAGGAGGATAACTGTGAAAACGCGTTACCCAGTAAGGTTTAACCCGAAACGTCTTATTACTCCTTGCGCCTAAGCACATACGCATAAACAATGCCTATAACTGATCCAAGCACATGAAATCGCAGTTAAAATAATATGGCAATGATAATGAATAATAGATCTCTTATTAGTGTGCAAAAAAAACTTATAATGACAAATAACTCACTCTCAACTTTTTGCATGAAGCGTTGAAGCCTTTTTCTCGTGAAAGAGCGTTGCTCTTGAACAAATTAAACACAATCATGAGAAATGAGTACGATAAAAATCATGAAGTTTACTGTGAGGCTTCAAATGCAAATATAGGCATCGTTTGTTGACTCCCTCTCTGTATGAATTCAGCCTTTTACGAAACGGAATCCCCCTCGCGCATCGACAGGGGGGCGATCATCTCTGAAAGACGGAAGTTCAGGTGATCTAGCGCCGGAAGGTCCACATCCCAGTTCACAAGTCGCATGTTTTCGCGCAGGTGGGAAGCCTCATCTCGCCATTTCTTCTGCTCCGCATGGCAAGACTTAATAAAACTGCGCAATTCCAGCTCCGTCGTCGCGTGCATTAACACCGCCGTGTATAGAATGAGGTACGCAGTGATGAGATCTCGCGGGGGGCATTTGTTATGAACTAAAAGCACCAGGCGCTTTCCGCCAAAGACGGCATCCGTACGCCGCCTCCCCCACCGGAACTGCAGCCATCGTGGCAACAACCGATACCGTAGGATCTGAAAAAAAGACGGCATCTCCCAGCGATGCCAGCATTCTCTAATCGTCAAGGGCGCATTGGTCGGCTCCCACAACGCGAGCATGAACATTCCATTCCGATCAACGTACAAAACATCCTCCTCAAGGGTTTCGGAGCGAATAATGAGCTTGTTGATCGGGGGGCTGATATAAATAAGGGAGGGGCGCTCGTACGGTTTTTTCGGTAGCCTCGGCTCCATGATGATACCAAGATTTTCAGATACCCAATCGGGTGTTACAATTTTCCCTTCCGTAATGTAAGCGTGCATGATGAGCTGAATTGTATTAAAGTTGACGATCCGAAACACAATCGGGCCCATGATCATCGGGGCGAGCACCATGTTAAGCACGCAGCACACCACCACCGCCGTGAGCTGGATCGTAAAGCTGGGGATGTAGGTGCAGAAGACGATCCCTAGCGCCGTTGCGATCGTGTACGTGACCATCCCTACGGAGTTGAATTTTCTAGTCAGCTCCGATAAGTTATTATGGGTGGCGAAGTGCTGCAACGCGGCCGCGCGAGAGACCGAGTACATCAACGAGGCAGACTGTTTCACAGTAGAAGTGATGATCGCGGCGAGGAGAAGTTGCTTCGGCACGAGGGATGGGATCATCATCTCCAAGATCACCGTCGTGTTGCTAAAAAAAACACTAATCGAGAACCAAAACTTCGGGCGGTTCTCATAGTTCACCACACGATTCGCGAGGTAGGCCGCCATCAGGGCAGGGCCGAGATCTTTCAGAATCCACAGCTGCGGCGAACTGCCCAGAAAGAACCCGTTAAGCAGGGATTGAAACCCCAGCGAGGCGCCAAAGTTCGAAATGAAGCTGCTCGCCTGAGAAAGACAGAAAAAACTCTGAAATCCCGCGGCGGTGGTATCGGGGAAGCCCTTGGGCATCCCGGTGCGGCAAATACGCCCAAAAGGAGGTTCACTGCCCGAAACCACCGGCGCCCACCCCGCCTCCTCGTCCTCTGTCAGCCGCCCCCATCGATACTCCGTCGTTCCCTGCGCGAAGGAGAGGGGGAGGTCCTCCTCCACACCTCCGCAGGGCCCTTTTGCCGTCGTCTGACGGAAATAAAACGCCCCTTTCGTGCGCGGACGAATCACCACCAACGCGCGCGGCAACGGCGCCGCCAACGCGTCCTCCACCCCCCTAACCGAAGAGAGTCGACTGGAAAGCGAAGAAGTGGAAAGAGAAGTGGAAACGGCGGAAGGAGGGCGGCTGTTGGCGAGGGAAAAGGCTTCAGGGCTGTCGATCAGCCCCCGCCGGGAGAGGTCCGCTCCCTGGGAAGAGGAGGGCAGCCCGAGGGCGATCCGTGCGGCGTGGTAGCGAGCGACAGGGAGGCCGCCTTTCGGAGGTTTTCGCCCCCCCTCTTTTCCTTCGCCCTCCCCTTCTGCACCCTCCCCATTCAGCGGCGAGGAAAGGTGGGAGTGAATCTCACGCGGCCGTGGGGGGGCGACGCCGGCGAAACGCGCGAAATTCGACGTCGAAGGAGGCCACACCTGACGGGGGAGAAGAGAAGTGGGAGAGAAGGCAGCAGGGCCCTCGCAACGCCCGCGTAAAGGGGTGAAAATCCGCCACGTCATCACATCGTCTCGTGGTAGGCGAAGGCGTTGCGTGCGCGCAACAGACAAGATAACTCGTCGAAAGGGGAAAAGACCCCCCATGAGTTTGGCTTCTTTTTTTTTTTGAAGAGGAGGGCAGGGGAGTCAGGGGGTAACCAAACGTAAAAAAAAGTGACGAGTCTTCAAAAGACTGTTGCTTGAATGGCTACAGAAATATTTTATATTTCATGTATAGGTTTTGTTTGGCACGTTAGCACAACCAGACAGAGCGGAAATTGGTTTGGGCGATAATTTAAAGGAGAGGAAGATGGATCAGTTTATAAGGAAATCCAACCAAAAGACTGTAAGGAATTGATATAGGAAGTGTATGAGATATACCTACATGGATATATTGATATACTTGTGTTCGTATTGTTTTTCGACAATACGCTTGCTTGCAAAAATCGTGTATAGCACGAAGCTGATAATACGAAATTACAAGCTGCAATATCAAAAAAGTAAAGGAACTAAGCCTAGTTATCTTATACTTAAATGTAACTTTGGCACCGCAGAAGATGAAAATAGTTGTAACAAAAACAACAACGATAGAATGGTTTGAAAAAGGGAAGAGGGACAGCGTTCAGAGAAGAGATAAAGAAGAAAATCGAAAAACGTGGTGGTGATGTCATTTCAAATTTTTTTATCCAATATGCCTAATGAAGTAGACTTCTACTCTTCAATAACCTCTGAAACCTTTTTTCACAACTATAATCGCCTATACATGGGTAAATTTTTAAGCTACTATGTATGTTCTTCCTTTTACACATCTATAATGCAGGGTTTTGGAGCTTAATACATTCTAATAATGAATTTCTTTTTTTCAATTACTTTTATCCACACCCGCGGTTTATCACGTTCTGTCTGAATATCGTTTGTCTATGCCCTTGCTGATATGTTGTCGTATGCGGTTGGGGGCTGGGCATCATGAATGCATGTAGTCACTCATATTACAGTCAAAACAATATAAGCCAAAGAGAAGGATCTGCTAACACGCACACACACACACATATCCATATATAAACCCGTATGAGTGCTCAATGTTGTGCAATGTTAGCGCCAAACCACGGAAAGAGGGATGGTAGTACACATGCTGCTGCCCATCTAAAATTAGGCGGAAGGCTACATGAGCATTACCCGCTAAAAAGATGTTGCTCATCCCCTTCCCTTCTTTTGAAAAGGAGGACGAGGGGGGGAGGGAGGGAGCATCCCAACCGCACGTGTTCAGGCAAGGCAGGACACACCAATAAATGCAGGCCAAATGAAGTATTCCACAAAAGCATTTTTACGGTCTTGATGGTCATCATCGCAGTACCCTACCTGCGTCGGTTATTAGCATTTCACCCTGCCCCCCCTCCCCCCATCCCCTCCTAAAGCAATGAGCTAAAATTTTAGCCAGCCGGGCTCATCATCATCCTCTTGAGCAACATCACCTCCTCCCTCCGCTTTATCGGCTTCCTCGACGTCGTTTCGCGCCGCCTTGTCGGGCTCAAGCTCCTCACCGTCAGGGGAAGCATCGTACCCTTCCTCGTAGTCTACACCCTCGTAGGCGTCGTTCTCGCCCTCTTCCTCAGCCTTGACCCTCACCCCCTCCTCTGCCCATTCATCTTCTTTCTCTTCTTCGGCGGCTTGCTGGGGGTTTCCCTCGGCCTGGGTAGAACCACTAACCTTACGGGTTTCGCCATAGGAGGAGGCCTCCTTCGTCTCGGAGGGAGCGTCATCGGACCCCGCTGGGTCGTCCAGCCACGCGGGATCGCTGGACTTCCGTACGGGCTCCGCTTCCTTCCTCCCCTGCTCCTGTTGCTCGTTCGCCCCCTCTTCGGCGAGGATGCCCGAAACGGCGGGGACTACGATTGGGGAGCCCACGCCCTCGCCGTCGACGGCGCTGCCGGCC